AACATAGTTAAAGCATAGTGATTAATCACAAAACCAATATGTAATTATAATTCATGAAGTGTTGTTTTACCTCCAATACTGCTGCTTTCAACACAGCAGCTGCTTTCTACACAGTAGCTGCTCTCGACACTGTGACTGGTCCACATAAGTACATTATGGCTCCAACCCTGTCACATACACCTGTATTTGTACACGGTGTATGTGATGGGGTTGACGTGATGATCACGCCTGGTACTATTATGCAGCTATATCTGCATGTGGGCGGACCCACTGGAGCCGGATAGAGGAGCGATGTCTCAGATCCTAAGACCATTGGACATATGACAACCCCTGTGAAAGGTCATTCAACCCTAAAGGGGTTTCAACCCACAGGTTGAGAACTGCTGCTCTAAGGTCTCCTTTTGTAAGTAAACAAGATTGTTACATTTTGTCCTAAAATTATCTTTTTCTTACATGGGTTTTCCATGTCTTGATATTTAGGGAAAGATATTTTGTATATATATAAAATCTATTTTTCAGGTATACAGAGAAGAATGTGTGAGGGAATAGATCTGTTAAAGGAGGTTATGCCTGGGCATGAGTTTGATAGTGAGCATCACTTTGTTTTACTTCTTCTTCCTGTCTTGTTTGAATGAATTTCTGTGAACACCTGCTTTTTGTTGTTCACTTATTTTTTATTATTTAAAAATGAAAATATTATTTTTGAAATGTGCCAAACAAGCTATCATGATTCCTAAAGTTACAGTATTGCTTAAGATTTATTTTCAAAACATCTTGTTTTAGACTTGGCTTTGGATTTCGGGACCTTTGTGCCTATACTGTGCTGAGAGACTTTACAGATGTATCCGGAGCAACAAACCAGTAACCATTATCTCAGTCATAAGTCATCCCTCAGATGTTGTGGAAATCCGAATGATCAAAGAAAATTTTAAAGCAAGACCTGGCCAGGTGAGTCAATGGTCAGCAGCTTCTAAGATGTTCTTTTTTGGTGTTTATTTTAGCTTCTTTCTTGATCATTTAAAAATTATCTGTTTGTTTCTTTTCAGTATATTATCCTACATTGTCCTAGTGTGTCTGCATTAGAAAATCATCCATTTACCCTCACAATGGTAAGACATTTGGTTCTTGATTTAAAACAAAACAAACTGAAGTGAAATGTACTTTTTTCTTTGCATATACCACCTCATTCTAAAAGCTATGCAAAGCTGTGGCAATATCCTTAATATTTAAAGAAGCCATATTTTTATGCTAACGTATGGTTACCTATCCAGAAACTTTGCATCTATATATTGTTTTCTGTTATCTTGCAATCCATGAAATGATATTTTAAAGATTTATTAAAGCTTATTGATTCAAAATATAAAAATAATTCCCTGGATATCTGAACTATTCATTTTATAAAGTATATCATGTTTTCATGTGTATAATTATCTATGTGCATGGTTCTCATATGGGCATAGTGCTTTTGAGGGGAATTTAATTTAAGAAAACACAGAGTGTGTGAGTTGAGGTAGAAGCATTAGAAAATATATCAGAAAAAAGTAAAGTTCAATATCATTAGCACCAAGACCGTGCATATGGGCAGTAAAGGGTAAAATAATTTGGAGAAATATAATAGTATAAGTAATGGAGTTTCTACCTACCTTAATGGAAGCCATCAAATATGTTTAACCTATGGGTAGTTCCTAAACATTGTTACAGCTAGTCCTCACTTATCAACTGTCTCATTGTCAAGCATCTTATATTTATGACAATAGTGAAAGTTCACCTAACTTATCTAAAAGTCTGTTAAAGACTCATGTTTCGAGCGAACAATTGCTCGCCTCCTGAGATTCTGGTCCTTGTCCCTGCCACCCCACTCCTTTCCCCAGTCTTGGAGGTTAAAAAGGAAAGAGACACCAAAGAATGAACAAAGAAAGGGTGATGCCAGGGACTGAGGCCATTAACGTGCACTCAGTCTCTGGCTTCTCAGCATCTGACTGAGCACGCACGCAGGCTGGTGGTTACTTTGCCAGGCAAGTGGAGCTCCGACTTTGGTCCGTAAGTCTGGAAGGAGACAGCAGCATACACGGGCAGAGGGCAAAGACAGGACTTGGCGTTGGTCATTTTGCCACAGAATCTGCGATTTGGCCTTTATATGATTGCTGCTGCTGGAATAGGTGTGTTTTCATGGAAAGCAAGTTCTCTGCAGGGTCAGGGGAGGGTGCGTCTTCAATTGGCTACAAAGTGTGCCAGTAGTTTAAAGTGAGACAAACTGACTCGCTCGCTCAGAGTGCAGATTCCACAGCCCAGAGGACAGGGAGCTGCGGCGGAAGGAGCAAGCAGCCCGACTGGCCACCTCTGAAATGACTCTTGGAGCCAGAGCATTGGGTCCCAAACCAATTCAAACGCGTTGCCATTGAGTCAATACTGACTCATAGCGATCCTTCTGTAGGTTTCTGAGACCGTAACTGTTTACTGGACTAGAAAGCCCTGTCTTTCTCCCGCTGCGAGGGTGGTAGTTTTGAACTACCGACCATGTGGATCTCAGCCCAATACATCACTGGAGTTTTTCATAACACCATTTTGCACATAATATTCTGGCGCTTTGAACATAATAATGTCAACATTAAGGATTGAATGCATTGTGTTTTTTTTAAACATTTTATTAGGGGCTCATACTACATTGTGTTTTATAACTTCTATTTCTTTATAACAATTTCAGTTTGCTGTAAAAAATGCACAGGAAGTAAAAGATTCACTTATACTAACCTTAAGGTTTACCCAACTATTATTATCTTGTATTAAGATGTTACATTTGTTATTAATTCCCCCAAATTAGAAGCAGCCACAAAGCTCACTGCCACAGAGTCAGTGCTGACGCACAGCAACCCGTTAGGACTGGGTAGAACTGCCCCTGTGGGTTTCAGAGAAGGTAATTCTTCATTGGGGTAAAAAGCCTCATCTTTCTCCTGTTGAACAGTTGGTGGTTTTGAACTACTAAGCTTGTGATTAGCAGCAAATGGATAACCATTATGCCACCAAGGCTCCCTGTACTTCCATAAAATAGAAAGGAAAAAAATGGTATGCACACTCAATAGCATTCTTAGTGAAAAAGAAATGTACTATCAGGCTATAGTATTAAGTTAAAGAAGCCAGTCAGAAAAGGCTTTTACTGTATAATCCTAACTATATAATATCTTGGAAAAAGCAAACTTTAGGGACCATATAAAGATCTGTTGTTCTCAGGGTCTTGGGTATGGATGGAGGACGAACAGGTGGAATGTAGGTGATTTTGAGGTCAGTCACGTCATTTGGTGCTGAGATTGTAATGGTTGATACGTGGCATTATGCATTTGCCAAAACTTATAAGATTGTACGAAACCTAGAGTGAACGGAAATGAAAACTATAGCCTTTAGTTAATAATGTACCAATACTGATACATTATTGATACACTATTGATACATTGTTAACATGGACTATACTTTTGGTGTTATTTAAATATTCATTCCCAATCTCCAGGTTACCTAAATTTTCTCCTATGTTAATTTCTAGATGTTTTATAATGCTGTTCACATGCAGGTCTAATATCCATTTAATTTTTGTGAAATATGTAAATAAAGTTTATATCTAGAATCCTTTTTTTAACTAACATACCAGTTATTGTAGTACCAATTGTTGAAAAATATCCTGCTTTTAAATTTTCCTTTTGCTTTGTTGTCAAAGATACATTGACTGTATTTTTGTGGGTCTATTTGTAGACTCACTATACTAATCTGTTCATCTAATTTTATTGCTATATATTCCTTGCCAACAGTACACTGTCTTGTTGTTAAAGCCCCTGTAGTAAGCCTTGATGTTGGTTTATGCCAATCATTTTTCTTTTTCAAAATTTCTTTGATATTTTAGAATATTTACCTTCCCCTATGAACTTTACAATTATCTTGTGGCTAGCTACATAGTAACCTTTTAGGGTTGTATTTGACATGTAGATTAAGTTGAGAAGAAATGTCATTTGAACAGTATTGATTCTTCATGTCTATGCGCATGACCTACCTGTTAATTTAACTGTACATTGCTTTCTTCACTTACTGTATTTCTGTGTCTCATTATTTTAATTACCTTACAATATTCCTAACAGAAAAGAACTATATTTTATTTAATATTATTGCTTGATAATGGGCATTGGGACTTTATTCACCTTCTATAAGAATAATCGAAAACAGTGGCCACATGGTTTGAGATACTCTTAATAAAAACAAAATGGAACAAATTTTTTAGGGGAGAAGACAAAATAACTGATGTTAAATTGCTGAGATTTAGGTGGTGGGGTTGTATTAGGAATGGGAGCTACTTTCAACTTGATTGTATTAGTCAAGTTGAAAACTCTGAAACCTTGGGTAAGATATTTAAGCTTTTTGTACATTCAGTTCCCCATTATAATAAGAGGATAAGAACGGTAATTATGCATAGACATGATGTGAGTATAAATTAGTTACTACAAGAGAGGGCTTCAAAAATTCATGGATAAATGGAATTAAATTTAATGGAATTTTACCATGATTGTCTTGAAGCTCCTTTGTCTAAGTGGAAGCATGATGCACAGTATCAGTATCATTCCAGCTACATATCTGGAATGTAGACAAGTACCTGGGATGTTTAATAATATTATAACTATTGTTATTTTTATTTCAATTTTGAGTATGCCCTGTAAGAATATATACTTGTAAGCACAGATAGGCCAAGCCAAAAAAACCCCAAAACATCAAAGGAACAAAAAAAAGGTTTACAAAAGTGATTAAATGGCTAAATAAGCACTAGAAGATAATCATTAAATAGTATTCTTTTTTTTTTCTTTTTTCTTTTTTAACATTTTATTAGGGGCTCATACAACTGTTATCCCAATCCATACACACATCAATTGTGTAAAGCGCATTTGTATATCGTTTCTCAAAACATTTTCTCTCCATTTAAACCCCCGACATTAGGTCCTCATTTTTCCCCTCCCTCCCCGCTCCCCCCTCCCGCATGAGCCCTTGATAGTTTATAAATGGGTATTTTGTCATATCTTGCCCTGTCCGACATCTCCCTTCATCCACTTTTTGGTTGTCTGTCCCCCAGGGAGGAGGTCACACACAGTTCCATGTAATTGGTTCCCTCTTTCCTACCCATTCTCCCTTTACCCTCCCTGTTTTGCCACTCACACCACTGGTCCTATAGGGCTCATCCGTCCTGGATTCCCTGTATTTTCAGTTCCTATCTGTACCAGTGTACCTCCTCTGGTCTAGCCAGTCTTGCAAGATAGAATTCGAGTCATGGTAGTGGGAGCGGGGAGGAAACCTTTAGGAACTAGAGGAAGATTGTATTTCTCATCATTGTTACATCGCACCCTGACTGGCTCATCTCCTCCCCGAAACCCCTCTGCAAGGGGATCTCCAGTGGCCTACTAATGGGCTTTGGATCTCCACTCCGCACTCCCCCCATCATTCACTATGGTAAGATTTTTTGTTCTGATGATGCCTTACACCTGATCCCTTCGACACCTCGTGGTTGCATAGGCTGGTGTGCTTCTTCCATGTGGGCTTTGTTGCTTCTGAGCTTGATGGCCGCTTGATTACCTTCAAGCCTTTAAGACCCCAGACGCTATACTTTTTGATAGCCAGGCACCATCAGCTTTCTTCACCACATGTGCTTATGCACCCATTTGTCTTCAGTGATCCGTTCGACATAAATAGTATTCTTTTAAAAGAAAAATTAAATCTTTTTTTACTCCAAGTTTTGTACTGTTTATATCAAGCAAACATACTAATTATTAAAGAAAGGTAGTTTTCATGTAATGAAATAATGAGAAACTTTTGTTTAATCAAGAAAGTTGGCAATACTAGCATACCACAGGGATGAATTAATAATTGATACTTGTTTCCCTATGGGCTGTAATGGCCGACCATAGGAGTCTAGACACTCTTTCCTAGGCACTCTTAGTATAGGTGACCTGCTAGATCTAAAGGGGAAATCTTTTGTCAGAAGGAATAGGAAAACCAGTTGCCCACATGGAATGCAAAACCATGACCTCAGATTTTATAGAACCCAACTCTTAACAGGATATTTATTCCCTACATGGGGTTCAGC